CTCTCTAGTATTGGAGGAAATGGCAGCCTAAAGGGAGGTGGTGGAGGAAGTGGTGGAAGGATTCATTTTCATTGGTCAGACATTCCCACTGGTGATGTCTATCATCCCGTTGCCATAGTAAAGGGAAGAGTTTATGTAAGGTTTGTTATAAGAAGTTCATACGTAACGACATTTTATAATATATTATGATTACGTATTTGCGATTTCTATTTTGGAGAAACACAATTCTTTTTTTATATAAGCACTCTAGTTTCTCTTGTTAATGTGTTTCTAGCACATAACATATGATTTCAATAATGATTTACAGAGGAGGGATGGGTATCATTGAAGATAACGTTGGAGGGAATGGAACTTTGACTGGCAAAGCTTGTCCAGAAGGGCTCTATGGTTTATTTTGCGAGGTAGTGTTAAACTTCTTTATGTGTTATTGTTTCTTTGCATCAAACATGTTTTGATGGATTAAGGTTCTAGTTTTCTTTTCCTCTCTACTAGGTTGTATTCAAATGGTTTCAGGTGATGTTACAATCTCTTTCCTAACCAAACAATTGCAAGTATATAAAAACATAATGTTAGACCTGCTTATGCCAGAGGTGTTTAGTGTCCCTTTTTATTATTTTTTGATAAAATAGTACTTTATTATCTATTGCATTAATGTAGTTCATCCTCCTTGCGAGCAGTGGCTCTCCAACTTCATTGGTTTAACACGCTTCAAATGTCGACCCAGAAAAAAAACATTCTTCAACTATCTACATGTTTATATATTCTACAGGAATGTCCATCTGGCACTTATAAGAACGTTACTGGATCTGATAAAGCTCTTTGTCATCTTTGTCCGGCTAATGATCTTCCCCATCGTGCTGTATATGTCACTGTTCGAGGTACTTTTTTGTTTGGAACATTGATCAGTTTATTGAGAGATAATGATTTTTGCTGCAATGTGTTTCCCCTGCTTGTATTTATATTATCCTTAGTGTGTATCCTGATACACAAACTTTGTTGTGCTTTTTGTTTCTTGACAGGCGGTGTTGCAGAAACGCCTTGTCCATATAAATGCATTTCGGATAGATACCACATGCCACACTGTTATACTACACTTGAAGAGTTAATATACACATTTGGTGGACCCTGGTTGTTTGGTGTTCTTTTAGTAGTTGTGCTCCTCCTACTAGCACTTGTTTTCAGCGTCGCCAGAATGAAATTTGTTAGCGGTGAGGAATTACATGGGTCTGCCCCGACCCAGCATGGCTCTCAGATTGATCACTCATTTCCTTTCCTCGAGTCGTTGAATGAGGTTTGCTTAGTCTTTATCTTTTATCTGAGTCTGGATGAAATATTTTGAAGGGGGATAAGATATCATGTCAATGGAAACATAAAAATAGCGCCAGAGTGTTGCTGTTGCTAGTCGTCCTATTAACAGATAAATCTGAAATATCTGGTCGGAACTCAATAAGAAAGAATTGAAATAGGTTGCGATGCATGATTATTATCCTGTGTTTGCTATCTTGATTCTGTAGATTATATACAATTGTTAAGGTGCTCCTATGGTTGATGTCTTTGTTGTAATATTAATTTTGTGTGTAATCGTATCAGGTGATGGAGACGAACAGAGTGGAGGAGTCACAGGGCCACATGCATAGGATCTATTTCTTAGGTCCTAATACTTTCAGTGAACCTTGGCATCTTTCTCATACACCCCCAGAGGAAATAAAAGAGATTGTGTAAGTTAGTTATTAGCTGTTGATAATATGTTCATGCCTGAACGTAGTTTTTGAAATACTTAGTTTTGGCCTCTCCTAATTTGACTTTTCTCTAGGTACGAGGCTGCGTTTAATGGGTTTGTTGATGAGGTCAATGTTATAGCTGCATACCAGTGGTGGGAGGGTGCGATTTTCATTGTGCTTTCGGTTCTAGTCTATCCTCTTGCATGGTCATGGCAGCAATCACGCCGAAGGCTGAAATTTCAGAAACTCCGTGACTTTGTTAGATCAGAATATGACCATTCTTGTCTACGCTCGTGTCGTTCAAGGGCATTATATGAAGGGCTAAAGGTACATATTCATCTGTTGAGCGATGCTCTCAACTGACCACCTTTAGAACATTGTAAATATTTAACAAGAAAGAGAAAAGGCCAATGATAGTATCTGAGAATTGGTTGAGTAGTCATCCTAGTTCTAATAGGATCTTAGTCAATAGGTTAGAGCCTTTATGTTCTTGAAAACAAGGTTCCATTTTATTTTTTACAGACGGCAAAAAAAGGGATGTAGTATGAGAATCATGAGAATTTGTGATGTGCAGGTAGCTGCTACTCCTGATTTGATGTTGGCTCATCTAGATTTTTTCCTTGGTGGCGATGAAAAGAGAAGCGATCTTCCTCCTCCGGTTCATCAAAGACTTCCAATGCCTTTAATATTTGGAGGCGACGGAAGTTACATGGCCTATTACTCACTCCAAAGTGACGATATTTTGACCAGCCTTCTGAGCCAGGTCTGTTTTTTGTTTCATATTGACTGATTTATTGTCAATGACTGCATTATCGTAATGAATTTATCCCCTTTTATAGTTGGTCCCACCAACCACTTGGTACCGCTTTGTCGCTGGTCTGAATGCTCAGCTACGTCTGGTTCAGCAAGGAAAACTGAGGTCCACGTTTCGCTCTGTTATGAGATGGATTGAAACTCATGGAAACCCTGCTTTGAAAAGACATGGTGTACGTGTCGACCTAGCTAGATTTCAGGCATTGTCTTCGTCGTCTTGCCAGTATGGAATCCTTGTTCACACCATTGCAGATGAAGATGCGTCAACAAGAACTGATGATGAAACAGAACAGCAGCATCCATGGTAAGAAGTTTCACTTCGGTTCTCTCTGCTGCTTATATGCCAAGCACATTATTGCCAACGATCCAGACGTTCATTGAGTTTTGAATATGCAGGGGGACACAAATTGAAAACTCCTCTGGTGATTTCAGGGAGAATTTTCAACCTCTAAGAAGCGAAATTAACCACGTAAGGCATCGAGAGTGTGGAGAAATCATAGACATTGGAAGCTTACAATATCTCAAAGAAGATAAAGATGTTCTTTCCCTCATCTCCTTCTTGATTCATAATACAAAACCTGTTGGCCACCAGGTAAAGCCTCCCTGCGACTTCATCTTTGCTTCAAGCATATTGCCTTTTTTTCCTATTGAGTGTTCTAAAATCTGTAATATTCCGTGGTGTTGACAGGATCTGGTTGGTTTGGTTATCTCGGTGCTACTCCTAGGAGATCTAACTCTAATGTTACTCACACTGCTCCAACTCTACTCGATATCTTTGCTGGAAGTTTTTCTCGCTATGTTTATTTTACCTCTCAGCATCATTTTCCCATTTCCTGCCGGGGTCAGCGCTTTATTTAGCCACGGACCAAGGCGCTCTGCTGGTCGCACACGCGTTTATGCATTGTGGAACGTCACATCCTTGGTCAATGTTGTAAGTATTGCTCTCTTTATGCAAATTCGCCTTCTCTAGTTTCTGCAACTTCCTCTTACATGAGTACAAATCCTTTTGTGCCTGGTGGGTTTTTGCAGGTTGTTGCGTTTGTTTGTGGATATGTTCACTATCATGGCTCATCATCTGGGAAAAAGATTCCGTATCTCCAGCCATGGAACATTAGCATGTGAGAGAAGAAGAAAACAAACTTCACTTTAAGCTCAAACCAAACAACACATTCCTTCCTGCATCATCAACTAATTTTATTTCTTTTGCAGGGACGAGAACGAATGGTGGATATTTCCAGTCGCTTTGTTTCTATGCAAAGTCTTGCAATCCCAACTCGTAAACTGGCACGTTGCAAACCTCGAGATACAAGATTACTCCTTGTACAGTGATGACTCCGAGCTGTTCTGGCAGTCGTGAGACACAAACCAAACCATAATTTATACAAAACAAGGTGGAGGGAGCTCGTTTTTTTTTTTTGAAAGGCGTCTTCTGGTTTGTGCACAAGCTGATTCAAAGATTTTTCAGGTGAATATAGCTAACTCTTAGGAAAGTAGGAAAAGGAAAGAATAATCCTGAAAGCACACGCTTATATTTTGATTCCCATGCCAAGATCCATCTTGTTTTCTTTTTGGTAACATTGATGGATCTCTCAGATGATCCGGACTCGGATGTTTGTTTTGCAGTTTTAAATGTTGTATGTCTTCTTCACTATAAATATTCTCTTATATTGGTTTGGTAAGTTGTGTTGGTGCACTCTTGTTGTCTCTCTTCTTCCTACATTAGTCCACATTATACTAACTAAACACATGGTTTGAGAAAAGTATGACCCCGGATGTTCCAGAGCACTAGTTCGGCCTGGCCTATCACAACCACCCTATTCAAAATGGATTAGTTTAGTTTCCATATGCAAGGTTGTGGTGCTGAATTATAAGGTTGTAGAGAATAGCCTATGTTTGAGACTTAACAATTGTGAGGCAATTTTGTTCTCTTCCCTCTCAAATGGCCTTCCATTTCTACAAGCTTTCTCTTCTCTCATATGTAATATCTTCTTTTTTTTGATCAGTTAGATGAAACTCAGAAAATGCTACCTTTTCCCATAGGTTAAGTCTGACATTTTTTAAGGGCTGTGAAAAAAAGAAAATGAATTGAAACAATGGCAATTAAAAATAATTAAACTATAGTTTACCCTAGTAATACCAAAGAATCATAGAAAAGGGACGCAAATCGTTTGTAACAGTGGACTTACCCTCACGCGCTGATATTTTGAATATTTGGAGAATTAGCTGATTTGGCGGACTATAGTCCATGGAAATTGAGGTAAATTGAGCGAGTTATTAGCACGCGTTATCACTGCGAATAGGGAATATATTTCACGCGCTGAATCAATTACTATCTCTATCTGGGTTTCGCTGACTTTTAGGTGTGCTTGGGCCTTGGTCTTTGGGCCCATCCTTCTATATATTTTTATACTAGCCCATAATTTTATTCAGCGGCCCATTTATAATTTAATCTTCACTGGTTAGTTCAACGAATACTTGAAATTATTCAGCGGCCAACATAATACAATTACACATTCGGAATTAGGAATGTTGTAGAGCAATATAGTTCAGTCAGAGTTTATAACCGATCGGGCTTAAAAAATCCGCACAGGATTCAAAATAGGCCGGGATCAAAACATCCTATCACAGACACTATTCATGAGACTTAACAATTTTGAGGCAATTTTGTTTCCGCCTAACAAATTTTAGAAAACATAGATGCTGAGAATGAGAATGAATCTCTCCAGCCAAACAATTCCGAGAAGCTGCAAATAAAAGACACATACACAAAGAAGGTAAGATCATGCATAATGAGGTAACTATGATTGTTCATCTATGGATTAAGAAGAGTAGAGTACCTGAAAAAGTCACTCTTTGTTTAGTATTTTAGGGACTTTTAAATAAGCCTCCTCAAAGCTTGGAATGGAAGCTCTTATACTGTCCCTGTTTGAGGTATATCAAAAAACTCCCAAGTTTAGTAGATGCCTTTCATCTTATTCGAGATGAAGAAAACAGTGTGAAGATCAAACCTGTTTTCAAATGTTTCTGGAGCATCCTCTCGCAAATTTCCGCCATCCATTTCTACAAGTTTTTTTAGATGAGTAAGGATCATCAAGAATCAAGATATTGAAATAAAGCCTGATTTCCAAACGGATCAAGAATGATAACTAGACCTCTTACTAGTGTAAAACCATATTGCCGACAAAGCGAATGTTCTTAAGACTAGAAAGAATTACAGTCTCCAATCAAATCTATCTTATAAAGATGTATGACATGAGTAGCCGACTTGAAACAGAAACAAACTCAGGATTTGCCATAAGCTAGATGATTTCAGACCTTATTTCTTACAGTGACAAGTTAGCTATATAAAACACAAACCAATCTATAAGGTAAAAGTCAAATAATAAAGTAAGATGAGTAATTGATAGGGGATAAAAGTTTCTGATTCTAACCTGCTCGAATAGCTGGCTCCACACTGTTAACATCAACTTGTTGAAGCTGCCCAAACCTGCATTTTCTCACCTATCAACAACACATTGATGACATAAACATGGAAGCCAATTTCGTGCAGAAAGAGATTGATTAAGTTACCAGTCGATCACTCTACGAATTTTAGTTTCACATTCCTCTATCTGAAAAGGAAAAAAAAAAAAGATCATAGGAGGAGAACTCAATTGGACAAAGTAGATTCGATAAAGAGAAAGAGAGTAAATGGAACCTCTGCCGGAGTTAGAGAGATTCGAGCTGTCTGAGCCAGACGGGACACGTCCGGCGGCTGAAGAGCGGAGGAATCTGAGTCAGATGAGTAACTTCGAGCTATTCTGTGGATTTTTCTACTGTGTCTATGGAAGTGTACACTTGAAGAAGAAGTTGAGGATTGAAGAATTTTGATCCTGCTAGGAGAGATGAAGCAGCGATTCGGAGACGCAGATATAACGGCGAGCAAAGCTCTGGTCGCCATGGCTATATCTCTCGAGTCCTGTGAATTGATGGTGTGGCTGGATAGCTAGATTTGAGTTGAACAACTAAATATAGCTAAAGCTGTGTCGTTTTCGTAAGGACTAACTAAACCGGTTCGGTTTTGAACCGGCTCACTTACAAAAATCGAATTTTGTTTCCAATTTTGAATATTCAGTCAAACACTTTTACAATCAGCTTTCAAACTAGTGAATATGGAAACTGGAGTGTTACCAGTCTACTTTGATATGAAAAAAATACAGAGTTGATGTCGTACAAACCCCGAAACCCAGACACAAAAATAGATATCGAGCTATTGATTTAGCCTCAAACCGGTGCTAACATTCTTCGAGAAAAGCTCGTCCGAGATTGGTTGCCAAAGCAAGTCTCACTGCACCCACAGCTTGAGCAGACAAATCAGATTCTATGAAGCCTGGTCTCAACCTTGAAATTGATAGCTCTTGTAATTTGTTCAACATCAGTTCGGTCTGTGTAACATTCAACAGCGAACGTTCTGGCCAATTCAACAGCTTCAACTGCACAAACAAATACTCTTTTTAGTTGCGCATTCTCGTATTTGGAAAATTAAAAGGGGAGAAAACAAGATTTGGTTCTTTACTGAATCATGCAGAAGAGGAAGCCAGAAGCGTTGAGGAGTAGAAGGGCTCTTCATTAGCTGCAGTAATTCAAATGGCATTAATTCCCAATATTCAGTGGAGAAAAATGGGTAAGAAAGGAGATGTTGTACTACACACCGATACAAGTCTCTCTACGGCTTCGTGAGCTGCATCTATAGTTTTTCCATCATGGACTAGCTTCAGCGATCTCTTGAAATCTCTATACCTGGAATGTATGGCATCGATAATCAATTAATAATGTTGGGGTAGATTTTTACAAGAACAAGTCATTTCATAGAGAGAGATAGAGATGATTAATACTTGTGCAGAAAATCGAGACCACCAGAGATCTGTGATTCCGAACCCAGCAACTCGACTAGGCCTTCCCATTGCTGCATGTATCAAATGAAACAATGTCATCTAGTGCACAGATAGAACCAACAGTGAAATTATAAACTGAAATTTGCTTAGAGAATATATACCTTTAGGTTTTCATCAGACAATGACTTTCCAACAGAATCAAACAGCTGTTGAGCAATCACGCTGAGACAATGTTCATCCCGAGCTTGCTGGAGCCAGAAAATCCCAGATCCTTTCCTCCCATGTTTCCAATGATGCACTCCAGAAATCTGAACACCATAACTTCAGATTAAATCTATTTTTCCTTTTTCCGCCAAATTTGGAGACTAGAGAACACAGGTGTAAAGTGCCTCAATTTATCAATACCTTCATAAGTTTAGCACTGACATTACTGAGTTCATATAGACGGCAAATCTCTAGGCTCTGGAACAGGAGAAACATAAGTACCAGGTGAAGGCTTCTGACAAGATCCTAGAATTTTAAACGACAAACCAGAACTAGAAATTGATGTATAAATGAATAAACGAAACCTTAATAAGCAACTGATTCTCTTGAACAGGCTGCCTGTAGAACAACAACTCTAATAAGCCTAATCCCTGTTTCTCGCACGATGCTAGATAAATAGGAGCTATCTGCAAAAATTTCAAACACAAAAAGGAGAGTTTGATAAAACAAGAAGTGTAATAGGAAAGATACCGATATGATTACAGGAAAGGTACCGATTTGATTACAGGAAAGGTACTTGATATGTCATAAAAGAAAGATACCTGCCAAGTCAAAGCATGAGAAGAAAGAACTTGAGCATAAACAAGTCTGTGGAGCTCTTCCATGTTGATTCCACCCAACTTTCGCTGCTCCTCATGTACAAGAGCTTCTCCTTCATCGCTTCCAGCTGTCAATAGTTCCATGGCATGTGCAACCATCCTAACAAAAACATGAATAGTCTCGTCCTGATTCATATAGATAACAGTCTAGCGTACTCAATACACTTAGTAACACGAAACAAATACTGCCTGCCTACCAGGAGCCAAACTCTTTGGAACACTCTGCCAGAACAACCTGCATCATTTAATTACACCACGCTGGATTAGAAAGTGGCGAAGGGCTGAAACAGTTGCACCTCTGACTGAGTTTAAGATGTACTACTGACCTCAGTATTTTCTCCAAGAATTCCAATAAGCAGTCTTAGAAGCTTATGGAAAGTGTTGCATGGCTTTGACTGAACACATTTCTGGGCTAGGCTATGCATGCCATCTAATCCCTGCAATGCAAAATGGTATAAATTGGATTTTCAAGTTTACTATTTGAATAATAGGGAACGAGTAAAAAATACACGGCTCAAATTAAATAGATAAACAGCGAGTATAGCAAGTAACCTTCGTGAATGGCCTGAGATAAAGAAGATGCGAAACAAAAAGCTCCATCCAGTTACATGTTGCAGCTGTGAGGCAATCAGCATTTCCCATCATGATCTTCAACATATTTCTCAAGCCCTCGCGGGTCTGATGGTGAGCACATTGAACCCAGAAGGCACTGCACTCTAATTTAGTTATCTGAGACTGCCATCTTTCTCGTGTCTGGCAAAAAGGGTAAGATGAGTCTAGACACATAATCAAATACACTAAAAAGAGTAAGAATGATACATCTTTCTAACATACCTTCATAAAGTCAGGCTTTGCTGCAAAGCATTCACCAAACTTCCCATCTTCTAGTTTTGGACGCATTCGTGGCATTTTTGAAATGAGAACAGCAAGGGCTTCTACCAGACCATTTTCTGTCTACTTCATCAAATTTGTATTACATTATGAATAGTCAGAAATATGTGCATATACAAAAGTACTAGCACGAAGCTAGTCACTTCATATGACATAAATCCTAAACAGGAACTACTTCATTCTAACCTCACGATGTCCCAGCTGGTCTAGTTGATAAGAACCATGTAAGTGTAACAACTTCACCTGAATATAAAAAGTATGGGTAGAACATTTCTCAAATTGTAACTTTTCAAGATCAAAATACAAAGAACCTCTAATCCCCAAAAAAGTACTAACCACTATTTCTAGCCAACCAACTGATAAAGCAGATGCCATCACTTCCCAGTATCTTGGATCATCCTCGATGGCCTGCAATGGCACATAAACCCATTAAGATAATTCAGTTCTTCAATCACTTATTTTCTAAGAAAACTACCAAGTCTTCTATCGACTTCTTTAGAGAGGAGCAAACCTGTAGGCCAACAAGTTCCTTTTGGAAATCCTCGAGCTTTGAGTAGATTGTTGGATGTGAGCTTGAAAGGAGTACATCGTAGTCCTGCAATGATATTAATGGTGGGTAAAAAAACACTAACATTTTCAAAATTAAGATAGCTTAAGTGTAGAAGGAAAAAACAAATTACAGATAGCCAATCGACGAGCCGTTCTGGCAACCAAGACAGACATGTCTTATCTGCATAAAATAATTCCATCAATTCCCACGCAGCCTTTAAAGAAGTTGGTTCCTCAGCATTCTGCAAATGTTATGTTAACAAGAACATTCATTAACAAAGCTCCCACACTCAAAGCTATAGCCTTACTCGCAGAAGAGTTAAAATTGTTATAAGAAACAAAAGCTCGATTACAGCATAGTAAAGTTAACCAAATGAAGAACCTGAAAGACCTCCATACCGTTATAACTGATCTTGGATCTTCAATCAAAGGAGCGGGAGAAGATATTGTATTACTAAGGAGAGATTTAATATCTCTGCTGTATTCCATAACGTATTCCCACCTGATACCAATCCAAAATGCTCAAACACGCTTTAGAAGTCTTCTAATCATAAGACTCAATTTTCAATTGGCAAACCATTCAAATGCAACAGTAATTCCAGCATTGAATGGGCAAAATCTGGGAATTTACAAAGAAGATACTACTTGTAGAGAAATTCGAGTGTACTCACCACGCAGTCTGGTACAAAGAGGAACTCATATCCATCTTAGACAAACTGGAAATTGAGTTTCTCCTGCTCTGCAAAAGCGCGAACGGAGATACCGATCCATAAGCGATCCTTCGCCACTGTGCGTCACTGATTTCACCATCCTCGCCGCTAAGCCTAACGTTTACCACTTTACCACCAGCTTCTCCGTCACCATCATCGCGTAACTCCGGGTTCCGTAAAACCGTGACGCGTAGGTTGTTTCCGCAACCCCAGGAGATGGAGAGCCTATGAACAGGAGACTTCAAGCCGTAGCTTAAAGGATACAACACCGGAACTTTTTCCTTCGCAGAAGACAAAACCAATTCTCCACCGCCGGATTCAGAAGTTATACCCGGCATTTCGGAGCTCCGATTGTAGAAATGGCCGTTAGGGTTTTAGATTGGGGTTTCAGCTTTTCCGGAGGGAGAAGAACTCAACTGGGAACAGACCAGAAAAAAAGAGCGACGACAGTAAAACGCACCGTTGGGTAGACATATATTTTATACTAATTACATTAGTAGCTATATACTTTTAAAACTTTCCGAATTGGACCATGTATGTTGCCAGAATGTCATTTAGCACCCGACAACGCGTCGTTTATTATTTAGACATATGAACACCTTGACGTTTACCGTTACAAAAGCTGCTCTTATCTCTCCTCTTCATCATGGTCATTGGCATTCGAATTTAAGGCTTAGCTTTGTTCCTCTGTCGCCGAGGAGAATTCGCCAGAAGCATACCATGTGGCCTTCGTCTCGAAACTCTTCGCAGCCTCAAGCTATGGTATTGATTTCGCCTTATGTTCTTAGTTTTGTTGCTTCTTTTTTGTCAAAATTTAAGCTTGGGCTGAGGAATTGAGACCAATTTAATAAAAACTAACAAATGGACTCAGTTGGCGAGTGTGATGATTTGGAAAATTTGAAAGTAAACAAATTACAAATTCTGGATTAAATTATGTTCTTTTGAGCTCTTTCTTGTTTTGTTTATTGATGATAAAATCAGTTAAGCTTCAAAGTCTGATTCTTTCTAGTTATTTTACTTTGCTGTAAGTGCAAGTGTTTGGCTTCATAGT